TTTTGTATTTGCCCTATATTTTCATTTCAAGTACCTGTCAGTTTATTTATGGTGGAGGGTATCCAAAGTTCGGCCCGGCCGAACTTAACGCTTTTTCACTTGTTATAATAAAATAGTTATCGGATTTGTTCCGTCTGTTGGGGTTGGATAGTCGTTACGGGGAATAGTCAATTTTTACCCTACAAAGACTATTTAGCCATCTGTTTTAAGGATTCCGCCCTTAAAGATATTGTTATAAAAAAAACTCAAACATGACGATAATAAAATATATCGGCAGACAGTTAGGCATATAGTGATACCTTCTGAAGGAAAGAATTGAGATAAACAATTAAAATATTGGGTTCAAAATTGGCATATACCGGTCATTAATTAGGCATAGCCCTCATATAATGATATTCCCAAATATTCACTACATCCTACACTATGTAATCAATATTGGTCCCCCTTTAGTCATAGCCTCATATAATTTTGTAATTTAAAGTAGAGTAGTTTGAGGATTTTATACTCAACCATGCGTTATCAGTATCAGTCCACTTTTTGGATCTTACATATTTTAGGAAAAATCCCTATTAAAAATTGCTGAAGTTTGTATTTGGTGTACATAATGGTTTACATATCGGTATATGCCCACTTGCAGAATTATCGGTATATGCCCACTTTTTGGTATGTTCCCTATATTTTCATTGCATGTATTTGTTAGTATAACTATGGTGGAGGGTATCCAAAGTTCGGCCCGGCCGAACTTAACGCTTTTTCACTTGTTTTTTTATTGGTGCAGATGCAGACACAACTTTCGTATATATGATCGAGATTATTGTATGCAAACGACTCTAAAATTGCCCAAATTAAATGAAATTTTGCATAGGTTCCAGAAAGACATAAATATCACATATTCGAGTTCGTTCAATTTCATGTCAATGTTCTTACGACAAGGCGACGTCTGTTAGAAGATATATGTAGAATATACCTAAAGTGGTGAATGGTATCATATAGTCGGCCCAGTCCGACTTTACTACTTTCCTTAATTGGTTTCATCATTGAAATTGCTATTAAATTTTCGTAAATATAATAAGTATTAAATACAAAATTGTTTAAAGTTTTTATACTTCAACTCTTTATGAACTTCCGGAGGCTTTTATATTTTGCGTTCCAACTAACGTAAATATGATTTCAATATTCGAACAGGAAAAAAAATTGAAAATGACAAAGCAAAGTGCATTCACATGTATGCATATTGTGTGCTCGTGTCTGTTTGGGAATTTTACTCTTTGCACAAAAAAAAAGCGGAGGAAAAATCTGAAATGCATTGACAAAGCTAAATTGAATGTCAAATGTTAATGTTTTATTGGAATTCACTTGACATTTTTTTTGGAAAACAATGTGTTATAGTGTTTACGGTATAAATTTTAGAATAGTGTTACTCTGGCAATTTTTTTTTATAAACGATTCACACTAATGTTTCCCATGTTGTTGCATGTTGTCAAACCCCGAAATAACATTGCCACACAAACTAAACACAGAAAAAAATTTCAAATCCTCTGACGAAATCATTGTGTGTGTGTGCAGTAAGTGTTGAAAAAGGACACTTATTAAAACTGAAAAAAGGTTTTGACACAAAAAGTTACAAAATTAGTTACCAGGAAGTGAATAGAATACATGTTAAAGAGTCGTTATGTCCGGTCCGGCAAAATTTTGTATATCCTTCAATACACTGTGTTGCAACGAAAGTAGTAAGGTCTGACTGGGCCGACGATATGATACCCTTCACCACTTTGGGTATATTGCACATATGTATCCTTACAAATTTATGAAAAACAATTTATAGCAAAATTGACACACGCTATTCGGAACGCCGCACGGTTAAAAATTTAATCTCAATTAGGCACCTCTTCGAAATACATATGGAAGCTATGGCTGCATCTGCAACAATTTCAACAAAATGCAATAACGCCATTTACATTAAATCGGACGGAAATATATATGGGAGCTATATCGAAATCTGAACCTATTTTTCCCAATTTCGTTCTTGGTGACCTATAAGTGGCCTATGCCAAATTTCATTCATTAGCTAAAATCTTGAAATTTTGGCTGAGGGTCACTCTTGGTCCAAATGTGACAGATAAGGCTGGGTTTTTGGAAATTCGTACTATAACGGTATGAAAAGTACTAAAAGGTACTAATCTATACTAATAAAAGAGTAAAGTGATTGACTGACTGACTGTTTTAACGATTCATCAACGCCCAGACGAAACGGCTGAAGCTAGAATCTTGACATTTTCGGTGAGGGTCACCCCTGGTCCAAAGGTGACATATAAGGCTGGGTTTTTGGAAATCCGTACCATAACGGTACGAAAAGTACTAAAAAGTACTTAATGTGATACGATTTGTATTTGGCGAACCGGTGGAGCTAGAACTCTGAAATTTGGTTTGGTGGTCGTTGATGGAGTGTAGGATAGATGTACCAAAGGGAAATTCGAACTATAACTATCCGAAAAGTACGAAAATGTACTAAATTTGGTACAATTCTGTAGCATGTGAACAGATAGCGTTAAAAACTTTAAATTTGGAGCGTGAATTAAGGTTGAGATGTAGGTTCCATTTAAGGAGATGGTTTTGAATGCGCTTACTCATGTGTACGAAAAGTACTATATGGTACTATATTTGGTACAAATTTAATCTATACTAATAAAAGAGTAAAGTGATTGACTGACTGACTGATTTAACAATTCATCAACGCCCAGACGAAACGACTGAAGCTAGAATCTTGAAATTTTGGGTGAATGTCACTCTTGGTCCAAAGATGTCAGATAATGCTGGGTTTTTGGAAATTCGTACTAGAACCGTACGAAAAGTACTAAAAATTACTAAATATGGTATCATTTGTATTTGGCGAACCAGTAGAGCTAGAAATCTGAAATTTGGATTAAGGGTCATTGCTGGAGTGTAGAATAGAAATTCGAACTATAAGTATCGGAAAAGTACAGAAATGTACTAAATTTGGTACAATTTCGTAGCGTGTGAATGGATTGAGCAAAAAACTTGAAATTTGGAATGCAAATTAAGGTTGAGAATTAGGGTCGATATGAGGAGAAATTAGAAAGCGTGTACTCATGTGTACGAAAAGTACTATATGGTACTATATTTGGTACAAATTTGATTTGGAGGTACAAATCGAGCTGGAATTTGAAATTAAAATTACTGTCGGAGTGTAGGATTGGGATATGAACGTAGTTTTGGAAATTTGTTACATATGTGTACGAAAAGTACTAAATCGTACTATAATCGGAGTCAGGATCACTGTAGGGGTGAGGGATTGAGGTCAGGATTTAGAATCATGAAATTTGGAGCCAGGATCACTGTTGAGGTGTAAGATTGAGATATGTAGGAAATTTTAGAAATTTGTACTAATGTGTACTAAATTTGGTACAATTTGAATTGTGGGTGAACCGATAGAGTTGGAATCCTAAAACTTGAATTTTGTATCATTGTAGGGGTGTAGGATTGAGGTATGTAGGAAGTTTTGGAAATTGGTACTACTATGCACTAAATTTAGTACGATTTGATTTCTTTGGTGAACCGAAAGAGTTGGAATCTTCAAATTTTGATTTAGGATCACTGTGGAGGTGTAGAATTGGGGTATGTAGGAGGTTTTGGAGATACGTACTACTGTGTACGAAATTTGTACAATTTTAATTGTGAGTGAAACGATATAGTTGGAATCCTGAAACTTAGATTTAGGATCACTATGGGGGTGTAGGTTTGTGGAGGTTTTAGAAATTCGTACTACTGTGTACTAAATTTGGTACAATTTAAATTGTGGGTGAACCGATAGAGTTGGAATCCTGAAACTTGAATTTTGGATCAGTGTGGGATTGGGGTATGTAGATTTTTTTGGAAATTGGTACTACTGTGTACTAAATTTGGTACAATTTGAATTGTGAGTGAACTGATAGAGTTTGAATCCTGAAAAATGGATTTAGGATCACTGTGGGGGTGTTGGTTTGGGTTAAGTTGGAAGTTTTTGAAATTCTTACTACTTTTTACTAAATTTGGTACAATTTGTATTGTGGGTGAATGTGTGCTAAATGGAAAATTTGTTAAAATTTGGATTTGGGTGAACCTTTAGAGCTCGAATCATGAAATTTGGTACTAAATGGTACTCAAATTTACTTCAATTTAATTTATGGTCGATATTAATGTGTGGATTGTTTTTTCAGAAATATGCAGTTTTATCTAAAAATAAAATAATATGTTAATACATTATTAAATATTTCCTACATTCGCTAACGAAGTAGCGGGTATATGCTAGTATATATATATATATATATATACCATTTGCAAAAAATCGGACGAAAGTATTTATGGGAGCTATATTTCACCAATGCCATCGAATTTGGGCAAAGAACCCGTTGAAGAACCCCATGATACCAAAAATTAGGTTAACATTATATGGGGGCCTAAATATGGACCGGTATAACTCATCTTCGAACTTGACCTGCGTGCAGACAAAAGGCGATCTATCTTAAATTGGTTAGAGTGTATACAACAACAGACAGACGGTCATCGTAAAATAATTCTACGCTGGTCCAGAATATATATACCTTATAGGGTTGGAAATTTAAGGAGTTCTGTGAGCGCATATTATGGTGAATTTCATCCACCAATACAATATAATTTTAATTGTTTAGTTCCGATTTAATAATCATCATTAAATTGCTTTCTTTTGGGAGGCTTTCGTTATCCCTATATAAAAAGTTGGAATCGGACGAAGTTATAGTTTTAAAATTTTACCATTGTAATGAATTCAATTTATTTTCAATGTTTCCACAAAACCCTCCTCCTTCACTTTGTTAAATAGATGAAGTTATAACATTTCCATTACAAATGTTGTAATTTTTGCTTACCGACACATTTCTGAACGTGGACATTAGATCTTTACAGTTTTTAATCATACACACAAACACACGTCATATACACACCTAATAACTCACGTCACTTACCTAATTGGTTGTACACGATAATCGCTTGCCTTTTGGCCAATATCGTAGGCTTTGAAGGTCAAACGTTTGCCGGGCAGTAGAGTGGGATCTTTGTTAATATCCTCCACAGCGAGTGGTAGACCACCCAGGGTTACCTGAAATGAAATTAGGAATTAAAGGAAATTATACTTTGAAATACTAAATGCTTTGAGATTAAAGACAAAACTTTTGGCGAAATTAAATATGAAAATATTCAATAAATTAATAACCCGAATAAAATATTTGAAATAAAACAAAATATTATTATCTACAAACATTATTATTTCCTTAATTTCCTATTATTGAGATTGAAGTGACCTTGAAAGTTCCCTAAAAATGAGAATTGGTGTCATTATAAAAAATAATTCCATTCAGAATCCATTCTCTCTTCAATGGAATTTTTTCCCTCTAGAATGGTGACAAACCATTAAGTAATGAACAAACACTCTATGAAATATTTGACAATGTTATTACTATGACAACTGACCTAGGCGAAAGCATCGTCCTTTGTATGTTCATATGTTTGTTATATGTTTGCTATAAAAAAAAACTGGCACCTAGAAAACACACATGCAAACAATTGATGTGACATAATACAGAAGCCTAATGCTCAGACGTCTGGAGCCGTTAGCACTTATATTCCCACATACATACACATACGCATACGCAAACACACACACACACACACACAAATAAACGTAATATTAATTGTTGTTCCACCCAGACTTGTGATGCTTATTTAATATCTGCTTTTGTGTGTTGTTCTTTGTTTTTGGAAAATTTTTATATATTTTTTATGTTTTTATTATGGGCATAGAGTTTCCCATCTAATGTTTATCATTTAAAGCCGAAGATAAATTCCAAACAGATATAAAGTTATTGTTGAGCATATTATTGATGGATATGTGTAAACTTAATCTGGATAAACATTTTCAAATGTTTTTTTATTATCTGTAAAAAGTAAAGATATGTTTCAGCAACAAATAAAACGATATAAGAAGGATGCAAGACAAATTGGTATATATCCACTAAGAACGACCAGTAAGGAAAAGAAACATGGAGGATCATTTAGATGAAATCGGAAATATATATGGGAGCATACAAAAATATGAACAGACTTACGACAGATTTAACACACACGCAATTGTAAACTCAATACGACGCGTTATGTGCAGAATGTTCATCAAATCAAAAGTAAGGATGGTTCGAAATTGATAGATATAAATCGCATATATATTTTCGTCCGATTTAAGGTAATGGTGCACCAAAGTCCCTAAATATCTTTCGATTTGCACGAAATTTGTCATAGCGTACTGTACTAACTCTAGAATAATGTATGCTAAGTTTCGTAAAAATCGGTTTAGATTTAGATATAGCCCCCATATATATTTTCTTCCGAGTTAAGACAAACGGTGCACAAAAGTCCCTATTTATCTTTCGATTTGCACAGCGTACTGAATTAAGAGTAGAATGGTGTCTGTTAAGTTTTGTGAAAACCGGTTTTGATTTAGATATAGTTCCTAAATATATTTTCGTCCGATTTAATGTAAATGCACCAAAGACCGAATATATTTTTTCGATTTGCACGAAATTTGGCAAAGCGGGTGAAGGGTATCATATAGTCGGCTCAGTCCGACTTTACTACTTTCCTTACTGGTTTTATTTAAAAACATTTTTGGCTTAAAAATAAATACAAATTGTAATTACCGCTAAACGTTAATTTTTTGAAGAAAATAAAGTTCTATATAACTTTTTTATAACTGAGAAAAACAAATTGTTTGACTCTTCTGATAAAAAAGTTTCAAAAAGCATGTTAGATGTTTGTTTTTACTAATTAGGAACACATATATCAAGGCTGCAGTGACATTTTTCAAGCGATTTGTTAGATATGGGGGTGGTCCACATTAGACGCAAGTCCACATTACCCGAAGTTAATCTACCCTCAATAGCCATAAGGCTGAAGATATATACATATTCTTAAAAAAAATCACACCTCTGTTGGTCGTTGAAAAAAACTATCTTTAAAAAATCTTGAAAAATTATTCTGTAAAAAATCCACGTCAATTTTTTGAATCCAGGTCAATTTTTTGATTCTATTCATATTCAAAGTGATTCTATTCATATTCTCAAAAGGAACCATGTGTCTATCTCGTTTCCTTTTGCCTGTTACAAACATATGCACAAAGACATAATACCCTGTACCACAGAGTGGTGAAGGGTATGATAATTTCACCTCTCCAATTGATGGGGGAATGTGATAAAATAACTGAATCACACATTCCACCATTTTTATACCCTTCACCACACTGTGGTACAGGGTATTATGTCTTTGTGAATATGTTTGTAACAGGCAAAAGGAAACGATATAGACACATGGTTCCTTTTGAGAATATGCATAGAATCACTTTCTGAGTCGATTTATGCATGTCCGTCCGTCCGCCCGTCTGTCCGATTGTAGATGTTAAATTGTAAACAAAGTACAGATCGCATTTATAATCCGATTTGGATGAAATTTGGTACAAGTCACTTATTTGGCCCAAGGACGAACCCTATTGAAATTGGGAAAAATCGGTTCAGATTTAGATATAGCTCCCATATATATTTTTGTCCGATTTAAGGTAAATGGGGCACCAAAGTCCCTCTATATTTTTCGATTTGCATGAAATTAGGCACAGAGTGCTGAATAAGGCCAAGAATGATGTGTGCTAAGTTTCAAGAAAATCGGTTCAGATTTAGATATAGCTCCCATATTTAGTTTCGTCTGATTTAAGGTAAATGATGCACCAAAGTCCCTTGATATCTTTCGATTTGCATGAAATTTGGCACAGAGTTCTGAATTAGGTCCAGAATGATGTGTGCCAAGTTTTGAGAAAATCGGTTTAGATTTAGATATAGCTTTCATATATAGTTTTGTCCGATTCTATGTATATGGTGCACCATAGTTCCTATATACCTTTCGATTTGCATTAAATTTGGCACAGCGTACTGAATTAAGTCTAGAATGGTGTGTGCTAATTTTCGAGAAAATCGGTTCAGATTTAGATATAGCTCCTATATATATTTTCGTCCGATTTAAGGTAAATGGGGTACCAAAGTCCCTCTATATCTTTCGATTTGCATGAAATTTGGCACAGAGTACTGAATTAGGTCCAGAATGATGTGTGCCAAGTTTCGAGAAAATCGGTTCAGATTTAGATATAGCACATATATATAGTTTCGCTCGATTTAAGGTAAATGGTGGACAAAATTCCCTATATATATTTCGATTTTCACGAAATCTGGCATAACGTACTGAATTAAGCCTAGAGTGATGTCTGCCAAGTTTCGTGAAAATCGGTCCAGATTTAGATATAGCTCCCATATATAGTTTCGTCCGATTTTATGTAAGTGATGCACCAAAGTCCCTATATATATTTCGATTTGCACGAAATTTGGCATAACGTACTTAATAGAGCCTAGAGTGCTTTATGCCAAGTTTCCTGGAATGATGTGTGGTGAGTTTCGTGAAAATCGGTTCAGATTAAGATATATATATATATATATTTCCGTCAGATTTAATGTAAATAATGTACCAAAGTTCATCTGAGGTAATTGGTGCTTTTAAGACCCCATATATCTTTGCACGAAATTTGGCATAGCGTGCTGAATTGTGTCTATAATAATGTGTGCCAAGTTTCATGAAAATCGGTTCAGATGTATATAAAGCTCCCATATATATATATATAGTCGCCCGATTTTAGGTAAATGGTGCCCCAAAGTCTTTGAAAATCATTCCATTTGCACGAAATTTGTCATAGCGTACTAAATTAAGTTTAGAATGACGTGAGCTAAATTTCGTGAAAATCGGTTCAGATTTAAATGTAGCTCCCATA